CCCCAAAACCCCAAAACCCCAAAACCCCATGGTATCGAAAGATGATTGAAATTTAAATTTTGAATCCTCTGAATTTACTGTAGCTTGATTTTACTCTTGGCTTGACTTCGCTAAATCTCTGGGTCTCTACTATAGAAGAGTTGTAGTCTGACCCATAATTAAAATCCTTGATCTACAAGGTTAAACGCTAAGTACTTTTGCTAAAGATTGTTCTGCAGTGTTAGCATAGTCATAATCACTCAGGTTCTTTTCAGTATTCAAAGTTTTGCTAAAGAATTTTAGAGGATTTCTTACTAATTCATTAATCTTTTGCATTCGGAGACTCTTCCAGGAAATTGAGGCTTTGCAGACATTAGCCTTGCAACTTTCTTGGGTTTTGGGTTAGCTTTTCTCATCATAGTTTGGGTTCTATGATAGATAGACAGTTTTCAATACCTTGCTTTTCTGCTAACACTTCTCTCGAAGCTATCTGCTCTTGCTGTAGGGTACAAAGTATAACCTGCAAAATTTTTAGGTATGGCTTGTCTTTTCTCTCTGTTGTCAAATGAGCTTTGCATACTTTGTTGGATTCTTTTTATGAACATTTCATCATTTTTCTTTGCTCTGTTGGCACTTGTAGAGTTCTTGATCTCTTTTTTAATCCGGATCTAGAAAAAAATCAGGTATTAAAGATACATTTGTAAGTCTTTCTCTATCTCAGATAATGTCTTTAAACTTTTCCATTGTTTGAGATATTTCTAGTGCTCTCTTTCTCTTGTTCTCTTCTATTAATCTTTTTATCATATTCTTGCTAGGCTTTAGTAAGTGCTTAATGTAAGGATTCCTCTGATTTGAATGAGCTGGATTTGTCTTATGAAACTCTTTTAGGGAGCTTGATGCAGAGATTCTTTCTGATGGAGTAGGTTTGTCCTTAATTACAAACTTTCTCTGTCTCAATAATTTGATATCTTGTTGATTTAAATTTCCTTTAAACGCAAGGATGCTCTTATCCTTTAAGTCATCAATACTTATCAAGTTTGGTGCGATTTCACAATTAATACCTATAATGTTATCTAAACAATGCTACTCTTAACATTATCATCAAGTATTCTCTTATCTTCCTGCTGCATCAACCTTCGCCTACACCATCATTCACAGTCCTTACTCTTCTTCTTCCATAACTTTCCTCTTTTTCCTCTCTAAAACCTTAACACTTTTCTTACCCTGCTCAATTCTAAGTTTCAGCTCTTCTAATTGCTTCCTCTTCAGCTGTTCTTCCTATAGTAAGTTAATTTCCCCATTCAGCGACCACTCTTCCCTAAACCCGCCATGCTCCCCCAATCACCCTCAATTTCGGCTTCTAATTTAACTTGAGAAGTTAAAATCCCGATTCTAAGTGCAAAATTCCTCTAAATTTCTTCTTGTGGTTCCATCTATGACCAATAAAGGCCAACAAGAAGAGCAGCCTCTCTGGTTGTGAGCTCTCAGCAGAAGTATAATAGTGGTGACAGCAGGGTGTTCTAGACTATTGAGTTGTGACTTGGGGGAAGATTTGGGGAAGATAAGTTTTGAGATTGTTGGTGGATAGGTTAGATAGGAAAAGTAGTAGAAGAAGGAAAGAGAATTAAATTATAATATTTAAAAGATGGAGCATATTCATAAGTCCAAACCCTTCTACAAACACAGCACACATGGCGATCACAAGAAGAAGGCTGAAGAACTACTCAAAAAGTACTGCCAAGGTAGGCTCCTCTCCTCACTAAGATTCTAGGACTAGCTAATCTCAGAAGAAAGAAGGGAAACAGTAGAAAGTAGGTCTTTAACTAGGCTAGCATCATTTTGGTAGAAACAGAAGAGAATTGAAGGTTAATAAGACCCCCGGAGGTAGGAAAGTGTTGGCAGAAGGAGGTCTGGTGGGAACTCAGAAGGGACTCAATACATCCCAAAGAGCCTATACGCCGTTTATAGGAGATATATCGAGGGGGTTGATGAAAGAGAATGAGTAAGATTGTTTTTTAATATGATTTATTTAGATTTCAAAGCTGTTTCAGAGGTATCAAATTTATCACATTTTCTAGTGCCTTCTTCCTCACAAATGTCTCAATACAAGATGGAGAGGAAGAGAAGACTAAATAAATCCCAGCAAATGAAAAGGAGAGCTTACAAGTAAGTCTCTTGTGTAACTCATTCAGCAACAGCTTAATCTCCAGTGAAGGAGTATTTCAGTCAACTATCAATAAAGATAGTGCCATGAACTATTTTAAGCCTAAAAAAATTGATATGTCTCAATTAAAACCAACAAATAACCTGAATAAAATGATGAAAAAGTGAATTTAGCAACTGATTTATAGAGATTCCGACATTTTTAGTCTAGAAAATAAGCTAGGGTAATGATATTCTCAATAAGCTTTCTAGGTATTATAAGACTGAAAGCAAGAAAAGCCTGAAAGGATATCTCAATGCCCTTCGCTCGGCTCAGATGAATTTGAAAGGTATACTTCAAATTTAAATTTAAAAAATCTTATGAACAAAATTATCTAAATTACAAAAAATAGCATTGTTTTGATAAAATTATATAGCTGCTGAGCAACATACTAAGGATATACTCTCATATCAGAACTCAAAATTTAAGGACTCTGCAATTTCTAAAATGAAGAGTGAAAATATTGTAGAAACTCCTACCAATAATGAATATGCTGTATCCTTCAAAGAGTATGAGAGTAATTACAACAGGAAATAATGTTCATTCAAGAGATAGTTCAAAAAATCCCCGCCAAAGAGTACTAAGCACTAGTAATACTGCATCCTTATTTCTAGAGGATTTCAGCCCAGGAGGAGCCTCTCCCTACCGAATGGACAAGAATCACAACGTAAAAGTTTCCTGTTAATGCTTAGTACAACTCAAGTTATCCAAGGTTATCTGGAAAACAAGTGACCAACCCCAGAATGGGCAAGTTACAATCGTTAAAGGAACGAAAGAGGCATACAATGAGACAGTGGATGAGAAGTTCAACTAGAAGAAGAAGAGTTATAAAGAACATGTCAAAGCCTGTGATTAGAAAGAAGAGGCCTGTAACTACCGGATATTAATCATAAAATTGGCACATACCTGTATCTTTTTACGCTCCATTTTTATTTTGAGGACCCTTTCACATTGCTCTTTATATCTCTAGACATTAAGTCGTATATACTTTGTATTGATTATTTAGCTTAGACATAGTTGAACTCTTCTTAAATGCCTTTAAGCAAGCTTCTTTGTCTTTTAATTTCTCATTTTTTATCTACAAAGTAATGAAACTATTACAAATTCTAGCTCAGATTTTGATAATTCACTTGAAGAGTCTGTTTTTTCTGATGGATGAAAATTCCTTTTCTTCTTAGCATAATTTAACTGATCTGTCTTCACTGATCCTTTAGCTTTACAGCTTAACTATGGAAGAATCACTACACCAGATTTACACTCTCTCTAGATCCTTTCTTTGTAAATTTTCCTGATTTTTTGTCTTTAATAAAAATTTCTGAAATTATCAAAGGAATTACTCTTATAAGGATATTTATCATCAAGAATCTTAGGATCTGTCATTCATCTTCTGACCCTAAATAATCAGACCTTTTCTTAGGTACTTTTTGGTACTATTTTCAGAATTAGCGGAGCTAAAACTAGTGTTTGTATTTTCTAAACTATAGATCAACTGAGCTACCATCTTGGTCGTCATTTTCATTCTTTCTATGCCTTCTTCGTCTCTTCCTATAATTATTTCCATGATTAAGTACTTTTTGCCCCTTTTTGGTTTATTTGAAGTCATTTAGAGTGAGCTTGGTTTTGTACTCATCTCTTTTGACAGGTCTTCCTCTGGTGAAGCAATTGAAAACGTATTGCATCATATCTTCCTGCTTCCTGTACTCAGAGAGCAAATTCTAGGGCTTATTAGGTGGTAACGTACTCTCATAGGCATCTGCTCAGCAGTGTGGGTCGTAATACTAATATTTAGAGAGAATGCCTACTTGTTCTGTAAATATTTCCAAGGGCTTCTTTTGGATTGTCTATTTGGACTCAAACTTCTAGCAAAATCTACGATTTTTAGAGAGATAATCACCTTTCATGCTTTTATTAGATTCATGAGAGTTTTCTTCAACTTCTGTGTCTGAGTAATTAATGCCTGTTGAATTAGATTATTGAAATAATGTACCAGGATATCCAAAGTTAGGTTTGTCTGTTTTAACTCTTCCCAAAAATTGAGAGAGTTCTTCTCTAATGGTTTTCTTCTTTCCCTCCTGGATGTCTCCATATCTCTCATTGATGTTAAACTTGACTTCCTTAAAACTAAGTACGAAATTACTCTTTTACTCTGTTCCAAATCTTGTCTCTTTGATGCTTTATTGTTGCCTAAAAATGACAATATTTTCTCATAAATCTTTAAAACTTCAACAAATCTTAATGTTCTTAAAAAGTGTTTAAGAGATACCTTTATTTCCTGCCTCTTCTTCGAGACCCGATGGCTCGAGAGGATTTCTTCCTCCGAGGTCCAAGCATGGAAGATGGCTGCAGTCTTTTCATATTATTGATGGAATAAACTCAAAAATTAATTTAAATTCTACATATCTCTTCGATGTCGGGGTTTTGGGGTTTTGGGGTTTTGGGGTTTTGGGGTTTTGGGG